ACAGTGTCTCCAGCATCTGAAAATAGCTCATGTATGCGCTCTAAACCGTCGATATTGTCAAAAAATAGGTGTTCTGAAATGATAAAATGCTCTGCTTCAGCAATAATTGCTTTAGTTCTCTGAAAGAATGAATAAAGACTGTGTTCCGAGCCTCCAATGCCTCCTAAACCCGCCATTTTGAATTTGAGAAAAAAGCGCGTAAACCTGTAAACGAAGTGGGATCGCAAAGCATTATGCAACACGATGTAAAAAGTTCGCCATACCGTATATGAAAATTGGCATACGATATAAAAGTTCGCCATACCGTATATGAAAATTGGCATACGATATAAAAGTTCACCATACCGTATATGAAAATTGGCATACGATGTAAAAAGTTCGCCATACCGTATATGAAAATTGAAACGCTATAAATTTTGACGATACGATACAAGAAGTTTCGAACGTATGTGAAAAGTTTCGCATATATTTTTTAGATTTGCCTCGAAGTATATAAAGTTTGCCACGTATAATTGTAAGTTTAGAATAAAGTCCAATTTGGCGCCCCATACAGACAGCCTTTTACAGATCATTGGCTGTAACTGTAAAAGTGGATGTGACAAACTCAAATGCTCGGTCCGAAAGCATGGATTACTATGTTCAGTTGTTTGTGCACATTGTAAATGCTCAAGTTGTGCCAATTTGTCTGATGATGCATCTCACCAAAGAAGTGACAGCGATGATAAGCTTTGAACTTCAAAATGCTGCTTATTAATTTTGTATTTTATATATTTACAATAGTATTTGAATTCATTAAATAACAATTTAATATAAAAATATAAATCGATTTCGAAAATCAAAAGTTCAATCAATGTATGTAGGTATAATACGAGCATCCTGCTCGATTTGTTTTAACCGAAAACCTTTTTATCAATAAAAATGCCCAAATTTAGTTGTGAAATAGGACAATATTACCCATAAAAAGACATTTCTGATGCAAATGTTGCTTGAATTTTCTATGTACAAAAAAGACAATTTTGGAGCTTTTCCAAAAATAGGATTTAATAGGACTTCTAATATGTTGCCTCAAATCATCTTCTGAGGTAAAGAACGTTGAAACACCTCTGTTGCAATATGTGGGGGTTAAACCTTTTAATTACCGGCCAAAATTTTGTGACTGCTTTGCTGTGAGCAGCAAATATAAATGCATCTATGATTTATTATCGGCAGGCAGTATATGTCGAAACGTTATCATGGGTCTCTACTAACTAACAAAAATTCTATTTTGAGAGTCTCGTAAGTGTAGTACTCTTTGATGAGAGCAACCGGACAATGTTTCCTGTCCTGTGAAGCACAAAGTTCTGAACTTACCACGAAATGTTTGATTGTTTAGCAGTGTAAAGACAGATAATAATGCACTAAGAGTTGTTTATTCAGCACTATATACTCAATACCTTCTTGTTGAAAAGTAAAGCCAAAAAATTACTCATTCTCTGCAGCTGCCCAAAATTGCTTCTTCTCCAGGAGGACAAGGTAGTCGATAGATCTCCTTCTGAAAATCTCTCAAAAGATACCCGAAAATAGGACACATCAGCATGGATAATTTCAAGTGAAGAGAATGAAGTCTGGTTTTCTTAGCGTTCTGGTTTTCTGGTTTTCTAAGTTAAGGCAAATCATAAAATAAATATGGTTTCCAAACTTACTGAAATGCGTTAGAAGCCTCAGGATTCGGATAATAAGATTTAAAAGGTTTAGCATACTTTGAAGAAGAGTATTGTTAAATTACTAGATTTCTACATTTAGCCTTGCTCATATAAGATTTTACCCATAGCCCATTCAGGTTTTTTTAAAGGCTTTCTAGACTGCTCATTGCTGCTCCATTCTCATTTTCCGATGTATGTACTCTGGTTACCAACTTATATTGCTGTATACACCAATTCTAAATTTTACAATATATGGTGAATGGCTGACTTCAGTCATATTATATTCTTTCTCTCTCTCTCTATCTCTCTCTCTCTCTCTCTCTCTCTCTCTCTCACACACACACACACACACACACACACACACACACACAAACACACACAAACACACACAAACACATGTTTTCGAGACAATTGTTATATAAGTATAAGTGTTCTAAACGCGAAAAGAGGTTTGCCATTTCTAAATAATTGATATTGCGGGGTAGATTCAACAACAACAGTCCAACACCCTCACCCCCTAACTTTGATCCCTCAGGATTACAACAGAATCTTTGAGTCTATGTATCTGTCTTAAAATATTGTTTGATTTTGTGGGGTGATTGAGTTCAGTGTCGTAATATAACCATGGTGGGCCCTCTATCAATTAGCCATTAGTAGTGTCCTATACTTTAGCAGAAAACAGGTTAAATAATTGTACATTTTACTTTAATGATAAAATAGAGATTTATCGGGTTGACAAATTTGAAAATCATTTTAAACATAGCAAATACTATGGTGAATAGTAATATTAATAAGTTAATAATTCTTAAAAGAACTATTTTAGGTAAAGACCACTTACCCAATGCTTCTAAAAGAAATTTTATGAAACTATGTGACACGATGCATTTCGGCAGACTATTCTTCAGTTGTCAACGTCTGCTAAATATTTTCCTCAATATTTGTAAAATAAATAGTGAATATCGAATAAAATAAAATCATAACATATTGTTCGTATGCTGTTACGTGCGTACTTCCGCAAGAATAACTATTAACTTTCGTTCTATTTCCACACCCAACAAAGATAGTGTGAACCAATTATAGTCCTCAAACAATTTATTTATCAACGCGTTATTATTAAAGTAGATAAGTGTCTTAATAGTAATATTAACAAGTATGAGTGTAACTTATCTCCTCTGTCCGAGTACAACCGCGAGTCTTTAATCTTGAGCTTTCGTGAGTCTAACAATGACTCACAATAGTTTTCCAAATAGATTAAAGGCACATAAGCCAAAAGATATTTATAGCACAAAAGTCAAAATAGTCGTCTGGTAGATTGTAGCTTGTCAACCTACTTCAGTTGGCTATGTCTGCTAAATTTGTCTCCTCGTAGGATGTGCTCGTAAGTTGTACTCAGTTGTGCAAACTACTCATATATATATAATATCTACTGGGAAGTATTGTGTTGTTTTGCTACCTACATCCTATACACAATAGAGTATGTTACAGCAAGATATTGTTAACCACAATAACAACAAATGCGGTTGCGGTTCTAAAATATGTGTTTACTCATGTAAGCAAGCTTCTAGATTATGTCCTAATTAGTAATGGAATTGCAAAATGCATATTAAATTTAAAATATAAAATATGAAATTGTAATACGATATAATATTAGTTTATAAATAATAGTCAATGATAGTAGTTGCGATCATGTAACATATGCTCTGTTGAAAAAGTAATTTGACTTTTACGTTAAAAAGTAATTAAGAATTTATAAACCTTACCTTGAGAACCAAACATTTATCTTGAATATTCGGTGTTTTTTAATTTACTTAGCTTCTGTAAGAAATCCTCCTATCATATTTACAAAAGGGATTATCAAAGCAATTTTTACAAAAAAAAACACTATGATATTTTTTCATACTACATATTCATTGCTCATAATCTTCATGCATTAATTTCTAAGTAGCAACAAGCCTAAATTACATTTAATAAGGAAAATTACTTTTTCAAAGCAAACACGTTTCGACAAGTATGAAAATGTCATCGTTATTGCAGATTGGTTATTATTAAGAATGGGATTATTATTTAAGTACATTTATTAAATTATTTACATTAAATATGATAAAAAGAGAGTTTTCTAGCCAGTGAATAATTTGAACATTTAGATCAGGATTAATATCATTGATGCAAAGAGTTTCTTTGACTTTTAGATAAAAATTTAAGTGATCGGTGTCGATAATTTTTATAGAAAACACTGAAAATTTATTTTTAAAAAATAAAGGTGCATGTAACACGCCATGTGTTGAACAATTTTTATTTTAATTTTACTGGCTACTTCAATCCTTTACCTGTTTACTAAATGATTGCTTCAGATTTTAGGCCCGTTAAATTCAAACAAAAGAATATAAGGATTTTTCCCATCATTTCTATTTCTAATGCATTTAGCAGATGTAAATTGCGATGGTTTAAACGGGCACTAAATTATTGCATTAGAAAATCAAAATTCATGTTATGCAACATTAGCTATATAGCCTACGACCTTTTCTTCAACAAAAAAAATAAATAACTTAAAAAATATTTGTGTTTTAAATTTTCTAGATTTAAAAATTGGATTTCAAACATATTTTCCCTCACTGGAGATAAAGTGCTTGGTTTTCTTGGAGTAAAGTGCCTATACGAGTTGCAAGACAAAGATGTCATGAGGTCAGCATGCACAGAGTTGGAAAAATTTTCTCAAGAAACGAGGATTGATGGAGTTTCTTTTACGCCTGTTGATTCAAACGCATTGTTTGTATTTCTTTATGAATGTGAACACATAACACGTCTTTATTTTAAAGGTTGCAAGTTTCTTGATAATCATAGCTGTCTTCCAATGAAAAACTTTTTGTTAAATAAGAAAGCGAAAAATTTGAGTAGTTTCAATTTTTCTTTAAGTGACTTAGGCAACTGTTTTTGGAAGCATCTAAGTGAAGCTTTGAAAAGTGAGAATTGTAAACTTACAAAGTTGGTAATGAATCGCAGCAATATAGGTGATGAAGGTGCTAAATATCTTAGTGAAGCATTGAAAAGTGAGAATTGTAAACTAACTAAGTTGGAAATAAGTGACAACAACATTGGTGATAAATGTGCTAAATATCTCAGTGAAGCATTGAAAAGTGAGAATTGTAAACTTACTAAGTTGGTAGTGCATGGCAGGTATGTAGGTGATAAAGGTGCTGAATATCTTAGTGAAGCTTTGAAAAGTGAGAATTGTATACTTACTAGGTTGGAAATGGGAGGCAGAAATATAGGTGATGAAGGTGCCAAACATCTTAGTGAAGCTTTGAAAAGTAAGAATTGTATACTTACTAGGTTGGAAATGGAAGGCAGAAATATAGGTGATGAAGGTGCCAATTATCTTAGTGAAGCATTGAAAAGTGAGAATTTTAAACTTATTAAATTGCACATAACGGGTAATAAACTAGGTGATGAAGGTGCTAAATATCTTTGTGAAGCATTAAAAAGTGAGAATTGTAAACTTACTGAGTTGCATATAACGGGTAACAAACTAAATGATCAAGGTGCTAAATATCTTTGTGAAGCATTGAAAAGTGAGAATTGTAAACTTACTGAATTGCATATAACGGGTAACAAACTAGGTGATGAGGGTGCTAAACATCTTAGTGAAGCGTTAAAGAGTGAGACTTGTATACTTACTAGGTTGGAAATGGTAGGCAGAAATATAGGTGAAGGTGCCAAATATCTTAGTGAAGCATTGAAAAGTGAGAATTGTAAACTTACTGAATTGCATATAACTGGTAACAAACTAGGTGATGAAGGTGCTAAATATCTTTGTGAAGCATTGAAAAGTGAAAATTGTAGACTTACTGAATTGCATATAACGGCTAACAAACTAGGCGATGAAGGTGCTAAATATCTTAGTGAAACTTTAAAAAGTAAGAATTGTAAACTTACTGCATTGAATCTTGATTATAACGAAATAGGTTATGAAGGTGCTAAATATCTTAGTGAAGCATTGAAAAGTAAGAATTGTAGACTTACTAAATTGTATCTTAATGGTAAAGATATAAGTGATGAAGGTTTTAAATATCTTAGTTAAGCATTGGAAAGTGAGAAGTGTGAACTGTTATTGAACTGTACTTTGACACAGATTTGAGCTCAAAAGTAAGTGAGAAATTTATACATCTTGGGATTTACTTTTTACATAAAAGTTTCTTAATTTAAAAACAATTTTGGAATATGTGTACTTAGCTTCATGTTCGTTCATTGTATTGAGTAAAAGTATAGTTTGATTTGTAAACATATATCGTTAATTTATTTGTTTTTTTTTCAATATAGTTCAATGGTCTAATTGTTTTGTTAACCTTACTACATGTACTGTTTTCTTACATTTACTTCTCACTATTTGATTCTCTCATGAAATCTAATTAATAATTTTTAACAAACGAACTTATTCAGTAAAAAATCCTTTCGAATCGAAATATTTATAAACGAATTCCCACTATTAATCATACAAACGCAAATTCGTGATATAAAAAGTATACAAAGAGTGGAAAGTGAAAAAAACCTATTTGAAGGTCATCATTATACTAAAATGTAGTTTTTATACATTTCTACTTAAGTGTGACTGACAACAAAATATTCTTCTACAAAAGTATTCATCTTGATGAAATGTACATTATATGTATATTTATATATATATTTGAAAATTGGTAACAGGCATATTATGATAATGATAAGGTTCTGGATTTATTTAAACATTGATAAACTGCAGCTCAGGTTTAAGACTTTAATGGACAATAAATATATTATTTACAAGAATTTTGTAGGCGTTTGGGCAACTGATTGGTTGGCTAAGTAGTTGAAGTTGAATATTATTGGATGGTATAAGATGCGTTGTCATGGTTTTCGTAATGTATCAGTTGCGTTAATAGAAATTCGAGTGTTTTATTTTGTCGTTGTGTTAGTAGTTTGTTGTTTTGGTTTGTCTTTAGTTGTGAATAGATGATGAGGATGTCAATATGTCTGTTAATTGTGTTGTTGTCTTTGCTGTACCATTACCTCTTTGTTCTCGTGCGTGTTTGTGTAAAAGTTGTGTTTTTGTCAGTGGAAATGTATGTGGTTGGTATATGGGGTATGTTCTGCTGGTAATTGATTTTGGGTCGCGTCGTTTGATGGCATTCTTGTGTTCAGTGAGTCTTGTTTCAATTTTTCTTGGACGTTTGTCCTATGCTGTAAATTTGGGGCAATCTTTACATGGTATCATGCAGACCGCGTTGGATTGTATCGAATGTTATTTCGGTCTTTGTATGTTTAGTAAGTATGATTTGAGTTTGTGTGTTGGTTTATGTGCGATGTTGTTTTGGATGGTCGGAATTAGTCTTGATGTCATTTCTGTATTCCGTTTATATATGAGTAGTACTATTTTTACTGGTTCGTCTGTATCTTCGTTAGGTTTTTCAGTTTGTGGTTTGTTGTGTATTTTGTTTAATACTTTGTTGATAAAGTTTCGTGGGTAATTGTTGTAAATGCCACCAATTTCCTCGCCAGTATTGAAAACATTAAACTACGACCAGACGAAATCATGATATCCTACGACGTGACATCACTCTTCACATCCATACCACTGGACATTGCCAAACAAATTACAAACGAACTACTCACAAACGACAAAACTTGGCAAGCTACAACACAACTAGACAAAAATGACATCCTAGACTTACTCAACCTTTGCCTCGCCACTGAATTCACCTTCCAAAACACATATTACAGACAAATTTCAAGCACACCAATGGGATCACCACTATCCACCTTCCTCGCAGAAGCTGTCATGCAACACCTCGAAACAAAATCAGTCACAAACAACACAAACATCAAACTATGGAAAAGATATGTCGACGACATCTTTGCCATATAAAAGAAAGACAAAACTGAACAAATCCTACACCATAAACAATACCACAAAGAACATTACCTTTACTAAAGACGAAGAACACGACAAACAACTTACCTTCCTCGACATCCTACTAACGAGAACAGATGACGGTACACTACTACACAAGTATACCGCAAAAACACACACACAGACCAAATACTCAACTTTAATAGCAATCACCCAACACAACACAAAATTAGTTGCATACGAACTCTCTTTAACAGGATTAAAACACACTGCAATACAGAAGAAGCCAAGAAGAATGAACGCAACTACTTATACTCTACATTCATAAACAACAATTACCCACGAAACTTTATCAACAAAGTATTAAACAAAATACACAACAAACCACAAACTGAAAAACCTAACGAAGATACAGACGAACCAGTAAAAATAGTGACATTACCATATATAAACGGAACATCAGAAATGACATCAAGACTACTCCGACCATTCAAAATAAACATCGCACATAAACCAACACACAAACTCAAATCATACTTTACTAAACATAAAGACCGAACAACGACATTCGACACAACCAACGCGGTCTACATGATACCATGTAAAGATTGCCCAAACAGTACATAGGACAAACGTCAAGAAAATTGAAACAAGACTCACTGAACACAAGAATGCCATCAAACGACGCGACCCAAAATCACTACCAGCAGAACATACCTACGATACCAACCACACATTTGACTGGACAAAAACACAACTTCTTGGACGCGCACGGACAAAACACGCACGAGAATTCAAAGAGGCATGGTACAGCAAAGACAACAACACAATTAACAGACATATTGACATCCCCATCATCTATTCACAACTAAATACAAAACCAAAACAACAAACTACTAACACAACGACTAAAATAAAACACTCGAATTTCATTAACGTAACCGATACACACGAAACCATGACAACGCATCTTATACCATCCAATAATATCAACTCAACTACTAGCCAACCAATCAGACGCTCCAAACGCCTACAAAAACTTTGTAAATAATATATTGTCACATTCTGACGAAGGCTCGAAGCACCGAGTTGAAAGCTTAATAAAAAATTTAAACAAATCCAGAGAATCCTTATCATTATCATTTGTATATATGTATGTTTGTCTATATGTATAATGTTTAAAAATTGGTAATCTAGGCATTTAATATATAAAAATTGAAAGTTTCTCTGGATCGTTTAAAAATTATTATATTGAGCTTTCGACTCGTTGCTTCGAGCCTTCATCAGAATGAGGAAATTGCTATTTACATGTCCTTTTAGCTCGCAGACGCTTAGAGCGTGTAACTGGATTAACGGGTTGATTAAGTGATTGGATGGGGAGGAATGCGTTGCCATGGGTTTTGTTGTAATGTTAATATGATGTAATTAGTAATTTCCTCATTCTGATGAAAGCTCGAAACAACGAGTCAAAAGCTCAAGAGAATAATTTTCAAACGATCCGGAGAAACTTTCATTTTTTATGTATGTGTGAATGTATATGTGTTAATATATGTATATTTGCCGATATTTTCTCATCTTTTTTAAGTTAAATTTGAAGCTTGGTCATCTCTTTCTGTAAAAGGAAAAAGTCCAATAATTAAAATACATAAAAGCAAGATTTTCAAGTCATGTTTCTAACCACTTTTTAAGTCAAGTATATGGAAAAGAAATCTTTTAGAAGACAATCATCCAAGTAATGATAAAGAAACATTATGTTCGGTACCTCTTGTTCTTCACATTTCAACTTGTAGTTGTCCACTCACATTTTCAAGTGATCTACTTCTTTTTTTTAAGTTATATATTTTGTGATCCATTTCAATTTTCACAGACAGAGCAATCCCTTACATAACCAAATAAACTAGGAAATAAAGAAATTCTTTGTAAACCAAAACAGAATCAACAAATACAGCTTCTTAAAGATAATCAATAAGCATACTGACCGTTTATTATCCTAACTTTCTCCAAAGTCGTAACAGGATGAAAAGACCAGCATCATCCTATACATCAGTATTGCCACTGAAAAGAAAAGATTTTATTAAGCAGGCACATATAGGAAGCCAATTACACGTGATAGCCCACTACTAGCTAGAGGTGTTAGGAAAGCTGCAGTAACATCTAGAGACCTTTTACTACCTTACAGTCAATAACAAAATGGGTGCATACTGTTGCTAGAGATAGTAAATTATATTCTATGGCCTATCACTATCGGGGTTATTTTAAAAGGGTTAACTAATCAGATGTGAAAGATGATATAAGCTGGAAACTCTATAACCATGTTTATATTATTATTTTGGTCTAGCTGAAAATAATGTAGTTTTTCAGAAAGGCAAAGCTCTCTCATTGGCATTGAAATAGCATAGCTTGTAAGGGAGTGATCATTGTGATGATCAAGTAGCTCAAATGGTTTCCATACCTGTATTCTACTTCTAATGCAGATGAAACACAGACAACAATAGCATTACAGTCCTATGTGTAAAAAAAAAATACAAAAATTATCAACCGCATATAAGTACTGAAATGCAGCTGTCTCTGAACAAAATAGACTAGGTTAAGAAGATTTTTTGTAGCAACTCGAGTTTGTGATGAAAAAATTGCTACGTCATAAGCGTTGAGCTTCTTCTTGAAGTTGATGAGTTAAGATATTCGAAGACTTAAATGATTGCAAATATTCCTAATCAAAGCTAACCTCAATAACGAAAAATCCCAAAATGACAATGCTTGCATAATGAAGAATTTCAATAGCTACGTAATAATGTTAAACTGACAAAAAAAGATCAAAGATGACTTGTTTTATTTACATTTAACTGTTAGACACATTTCTCCAAATAAAGGTAAAGCATTGTTGCTACTGTAGTCTATAATCTCTTGACCAAATCTGCCTGCCAGCAGAATTAGCTGTTAGGCATATTTATCCCAATGGAGGAAGAGCATTGTTGAAAGTGTTACCTAAAAACACTTCACCAAATCTACCTGCAAACTAAACGTGAACACAGCAAGTCATCCATACTATAAATAAATGTCAAGCAAAATAGATTTGAAAACATGTTTCCAATCACTCGCCTCCTCTAAGTATTTTAATGTCTCTTAGTAGCTGAACTAATACAATCAGGAAGACTATTTGGACAAAAGCAATAATGACCATCTGAAAACTGTGGCCATAAAGCAAGGCTCCCAACTTTGTACGATTTTCAACAGCTCGCAATTTTTTGAAAGGTACTCCAAAGAAAGGTAACTACAATGATCGACACATTGGTAATTATAAAGGTAGTAATAAAGATACACATAAAGGTAGACATTAAGTAGACATAAAAGTGGACATAAAGGTAGACAGAAAGCTAACTACAAAGATCAGCACATAGGTAATTATAAAGGTATTAATAAAGATACACATAAAGGTAGACATAAACGTAGACATAAAGGTGGACAT